ATTTGTCGCCAAAAGGGAAAACGTCAGACTGAGATTTCTCAGAAACACTTCTAATGCCTTTGCAGAGAGCTATGTAATATAAACTGAAGCTGTTACGCTATATTAACTCCAGTTTTCCTCCCAAATCGCATTACGTGACAGACATTTCGAGAACTTTCGCCTTTGCATTGCTTTTTGTCCAGTTTCCGAATAGTGCAAACCCGGACGATGGGGCCAAATAATTCTGTGTACATAATGACAGCCCGTTTACACCCTGAAACTAGATATTTAATGACTTGCTCAAAACGATATTTTGAAGCACGAAACAAAATTCATGTAATGCACGAAGTGGTTAAAGCTACTTGATTTAATAGAAGATTTCTTGCAATCTATAATCACATTAGTACTTGACCACACAGGTCTAACTTTAATTTGCGCATCTTTTGTCATCGACCTTTGAAAAAAAAGATTGCACGATTTTTTCGTAAAAGAAGTCAGCGCGTGTTTGTTATGGAAAACAAGGGACGCAAATGCAGCCTTTTCACTAAAGAGGAGAGTTCGGGTTTCTTATGACTTTAACCCGGCAGCCAGGACCAGTGCTTTGTAATAGAGTACTTTTAAGTTTGACTCACAGGGATATATAATTAATTTTCTCAACAAGTAGCTTCATTGCCGGGTCGTGACAATTGACTGGCTCAATTGGTTACTGTTATGTTACAACAAGAAAAGACATGTAAGGGCAAATGTTTCAGCCAGACGCACTGGCTTCGTGACTGCGGGGCTAAAACAAGACGAAAAGAAATTCAGTGAATTCCTCGAAGGGGAAAGCTGTGTTTTAATAGGAGATTGCTATGGAAAGGAACCGGGCACCCGGTTTAAGGCTTAAAAAAGAAAAATCAGTAAGCTCTCTGCACTCCGATCCTTATTAGCGTTAAAAGGTTAATCTAATCGGCATTTCCGCAACACACAACCTCGTTCCCAGGCCCCAAGCTAGGGAAAAGGCTCCGGGAACGAGGCTGCACAACACAAATAGCGAAGAATAGTCGATCTGTCAATGCACTGAAAATTGTCAAAATTACGCCACTTTGAAAAAGTATGTTTGCTCGCTGGCATGTGTAGCTTTCTTTAACAAATAAAGCATCATGCATAAAACACACATTCAACTTAAGTCCCCGCCATATCGGGTTTCCGTTGAGGATCAATACATAACCATTTCGACAAACAACAAGAAAAGGCTTGGTAATTGTTTGCCCGCTTAACAGTTAAAAATGATAACCAATTTGTAGAAAAAGGGTCACTTTGTTTCATTTCAGCATTTGTACGTCGCATGAAGCAAAATTCAAGGTAATAAAGCATTGAAAATATTTTTCATGAGTTTACAGACGAAAAAGCGTAAGTTAGGACAGAACTTAATTATATGTAAATTACAAACTGCTAAAGCTATCTTTAACTGACACATAGATCACCTGCATCGACAAGTCTAAAAAGATACTTGTCTGAATGAAAAATCTGAAGGGAATAAAATTTATTCTCGAAGGTTCCCCCAACACAAAACTAAAAATTTTACATCAAGAAAAAAGGAAAATGAAGCCGTTTTATATTCATATTCAGCAAAATGTTAAACTTGGAGAGAAGGCAAACTCGGGAATGAATTTTTTCGTAGTTTTTAATTTATTCATTTTCGCTCTAAGCCAATTAGTAAAATAAATTTCGTTTCCGGAATTCTTATTATGTTGAGCAACTTAATAAAACTAAACGATTGCCGGATACTTCGCTAAAAATACACAGAGCAGATTCATTTTCTCAGAAAAACATCCTCCTCACTTCTGTCAAGAGTTGTCCAGATGTGTCTCAGAATTTCGAACACAGTGTAAGTCTTTCTCTTGAAAGCTATCGCCAATTGTCGCCTTTAAAAACAAGACATTTATATTTGTGATGGAAATTAAAATGAGGACGCTGCAATCTGACATCTAGCGAAGTCATGAAATCCTCTTTCAGAAAGCACACATGCATCTTTAGCGGAGAACCCTGAACTGGAGACAGATAATTGCTGATTATTTTTCTTTAACTTTTGTCAACTTTCTTCTTCCCTTTCTGCTGAAACTTAGTACCTTCTGAAATCATCTTGTGTAAAAACATTCTGTTTTTCATGTGAATTATCCAAATCCCCTCAGGTGGGGATTAATTGTTGTTTTAACAAGTAATATACAGTGATAAAATCAGCCAATGAAATCGTTGTTTGCACGATCACCTGCGTAAGAACGGAAACCAACTTGTCTCGGTTGTCAAGTGTAGCTATATATATGTCAAGTACGAGTCGTTAACCAGGTTAAACAATACCACAGGATGTTGTAAGCTAAACTTCTCCGTTCTTTCATGCAGTATGGTGGAAAACGAAAAACCGTGGCCCGAGCCAGTCCCCGATTGGCCTGAAGCGAAGGAAATTTGGAAATGGGGCTGGCCCTTTCACGTGTATTTCTTTACAGTGCTGTATTGCTTTGTCATAGTTCGCGGACTCTACGTCCTCCTAAAGCAAGGGAAAGCGTTTTTCAGGAGGACGGATCACCGCTTTTTGATGAACGCGCTTCTTTTGACATTTGGCGCGACTCGCACAGTGTTTCTGATCTGGGATCCGTACGGTTCGAATCCAAACCACAACAAAACAGAGCTCGTCATTTGCATCATAACTTTTGGCGTCGGAACAGCGTGCGTAACCTCAGCATTCAGTTACCTATTGCTAATTGTATTAGAAAGTACTCGTATCTCGCTTGCACCGAGCAAGTTTCAAAACCAAAGGTTCTTCCTCGGGGTTTGGACCGTGAACGTACTTTACGTGATACTTTCGGACTTAATCGTTGCTCATTTTCATGAAGCCAAGGTAATGATATTGATTTGTCAACTAACTTTCGCTCTCTGGGGATTTCTTCTTGCTTTGGGCTATGCATTGGCCGCGGCACGACTATGGCGTAACTTGAAAGCTTCGCGCCAAACCACGCAGTACAACCAAGGCCTCGCTGCCGAGAGCAAAAAGATAAAAAGGTTGGTGTGTTTGCTGTGTTTGGGGTCAATTTGTGGCGTGGTTATGTTCTCCACCATTGTGTACACGGCACTTGGCGACACAGGAGTGTACAATGAATCAGGAATAGTGCGCCACTGGCCGTGGATTGCCGTGCAGACATTACTAAGGACTTGTGAGGTGTTTATGTGCTTTGTTATATTTCTGATCGCGCTTAAGACAGCCACTGCTAATTCTACGAACAACAATCGAGTCGACAGTGACTCGAAAGGAACAGCCTAAATTCCCTGAGCAAAGAAATTGCTTGTCTAGCTCCAGTCAGCCATGTTTCGGTTGACAGACCTCGAGAAAAAAGACTAACAAATTGCATCAAAAAAAACAAGCAGCATGGGGCTTCGCATAAAATTTTCCTCACATTGCAGAAACGTTAATACCTCCAGCAAAAATATCGAAAAATATGTAAATGGAGTTTCTTAGATGATATCAGTGAAAAAGCATTTTTCAGATTAATATCGGGATAAAAGTGCCGATTTCGCCTGATAAAGAACGTTCCGAATTTTGAAAATAAGTTCTAAATTTACCAAGGGAAATAGCATCACATTCTAAAACTTTAATTTGAAGAAAAATTCTGTAGCGCGTCAAATCAAACAACTTCAACTTAACTCGATATAGTGTCACCAAAAATGGAACAGAATAAATGAAGGGAAAAATTGTTTTAAAAAATAATTGTTCCTCTTTACTGAGAGGCAGAACGTGAATAAAGCGTAGTCTTTCAATTTACATAGGACTTTCAAAGTAAAAGAAGCTGTTTCAAAGTATTTAAATTTTGCGTGTCGACCGTCATGAAGCGATTATAATTAGGGTATTTCTATAATGAGACGAAAAAATCTGACCGCAAACACTGCATATGGTAAGTATAACCTTGATCAAAATTGTTTGTCAAAGAAATTGCGACCTGTCAAAGACCTGTCAAAGAAATTGCCTACGTGGAGACGTCTACGAGGATTTCCTATCAAGCCGAAAGAGTGACTTTTTTCAGCGTGAAAGAAATTGTGCACATGTACACTCAGGCTAACAGTTCTTTAGCGGCTAAATATTACATTTCTTAAAATACTCGCGAATTAAACATATTCGCTTCAGTCAATTAATGGTGACGTTAGAAATTCTCTACGGGGTATCTTTATTTACTCTAAGACTGTCACAGTAAAAAATATTAAACAACATTCGATTAATATCTTAATATTCAGCTGTTTTGAGGATGTGGT